TTGTGATGTACATCTTGGCATATAATGGTAGAGTGGTGATAGCTAGGTGGGGGGATGGAGAAGGTGGTGGAAGTGGGGTACAATGGAGCTGGCATAGATGGATCACAGTCTTAAAACACCTGGCACTGCGAAAAAAACATTGGTCAGCAAGATAAAAATCACCTTCCCCCCTTTAAAAAAAAAAAGAGAGAACAATGAACAGAAAGCAAACCCCCCCAAAACAGCAGAATGCTTTGAAAATAAAATGCCGCAAATCTGATCAATGCTCTCTATAAATATAAATAGGCCTGTAAATCCAGCTGAATTGGAAATGACAACTTGATGGGCCAGCCTTCTGTAGTCTAGAGGAATAATGACTCCTTCCTTTCAAATAACTAATTGGGAAGCTCATCACATAAGCACCATAAGGGTGTCTTACAATAAAATTCAACACCATCTCCATAAAAGCCACTGGGAAGTTTTTATTTCCCTGTGGATAATCAATGGGACCACTTGTGAAGCAAGTAACTATACAGTATGAGAAAAGATATGAAAATGTGCCCCAGAGTAAGATGCTAATCTCAACGTTAGTAAGAGGGTGGGACAGAACTGGGCCCTCTATAAAGCTATGTACTTTCAATTAAGCTGGTGCACATTATATTTTTCATTGGTAGTTTAGGTCTGCACAGAAATGACAATAACAGTGGTGTTGTCTCAAAATTTGGCCTACCAATTTTCTTTATGTCTGTTTATGAAGTCTGTGAAATCACTATGAGCCAGATTGTGCATTACCCTTGGGAGGGGAGAGGAGAGATGTTAAATATTACTGCTGCTTTTTAACAGGCACAGAGTAGTCAAGCATCGTGTCCAAGGTCCTACAATAAGTCTGTGAGAGAGCTGTGATCAGATATCAGGAGATCGTGACTTCAACTAGACTACACTGTCCCTCATGCAGCCCCTTTTCTAAATAAAAATGCATAAATAAATCCCACTATGGCAGCCCTTCTGAGGCATATAACAAGGTACTTATGCAATAGTGAAAGAAGAAGAAAAAATAAAAGAGATTGAAAATAATGAGAAGGAAATAAACTAAGTATTTATGAAAAACAATTAGAGAGTCTCCTTTGAAGAGAACATCATAGACCAAGTTCTACGCTCAGTTATACCTGGATTTACATCAGGGTAACATGTTAAGCCACAGCTACCTGTGATATCCTGGGAATGTCAGACACATCCAATATAACATGTAACAGAAACAATTCCATTTGTTACACAATAAATCAATTCTTACATGGACTGAAACTTCCTTTAAATGTAAAGGAAGGGAATAAGTGGCTCAGTGGGATGGGAGATGTCTTTTCACCTTTGGTCAGTGGTTCAGACTGGTATTGGATGACAGTTGTTCCCATCTGACAGTTGTTCAGTGGTCATTATTAAATGAGTCTCAGTCTTGGGTCCAGCCTTGTTGGCAGTCCCAGGAGAGAGGCCAAGGATTCAATGGGCTGAGCCCACACTCCTCTTTCACCCTTGAAGCTACTCCCACCAGGCCAGTGGAGGTAAACTGATGAGGCAGCATTGGGAAGCTTGAGTTGGCAGTACCTGTACTGGGGATAAGCAGAAAACTTCAGTCTCAGATGCTGCCTACTCAGTACCTTTTGCTAGCACTATTATAAATGGAATCCAGTTTTATCTAGAAGTGAAATATTCAAACAACCCGCAAGCCACGCACCACCATGACGAGCCAACGCTTTACAGTAGGGGCCTTGTAATAAACTACAGACTAAACATCTGGCTATTCCCAGTGCCATAGAGAGAGAATGCAGCAGTGAGGGACATAAAGAGCCAAACAGGCAGAAAACTCACACTAGAAGGCCATAGTTTAAAGTCTAACTGGCATACTCTCTCTTTCTGTGTGATAGATTGTCTTTGTTATTAAGCACTGCCCGTGTGCTCAGCACTATACAAACACGAAGAAAGACACAGGGCTGAATCTGAACTCACATGGTGTAAATCAGGAGTAATTCCACTTGTCATCAATAGAGTTAAACTGGTGTGAGCTAAAAATCAGTCCTCATGGTCCCATCCGCTAGAATTTTATGGTCCTGGCTCGATTCCGCTCCCATTGATGTCATAGGAATTTTGCCATGGACTTGGACAGACAATTAAGAACGAGCGGGTGCATGACTCTCCTCTGATTTACATCAGTATAACTACATGGGTTTTGGTGGAGTCACACCTGCATTACACTATTGTAAATCAGAGGAGAATCAGGCCCATGATACATTGGAAGACCTCATGAACGTCAGTGTCAAAGCAGTTCCAATGGTCCTGCTAAAGAAAAATGTTAGACTCCTGTACTGCTCATCCTCTAATTGTATTGGCCGAGAGTTTTCAGAAGCTGTAACTGTAGAACATACAACACTTCATACAGTGCTGTCACTTTCAGTGTTTAATGGACCTACCTCTGTCACAAGGGACCCAGTAGGATCTGCCAAATCCTGCTGTGCCACAATCTACAAAACGAGAGATGGCGTCTCCTGAGTGGGCCAGTCAGTAGTGTTAGAAAGATTTGTCTTGAAAAAAGAGCATCGGTTTGGATATAATTTCATACGACTCCTTCTCAGAGTGAGTAGGGTGACCAGACAGCAAGTGTGAAAAATTGGGATGGGGTGGGGGGTAATAGGAGCCTATGTAAGAAAAAGACCCAAAAATCAGGACTGTCCCTATAAAATCGGGACATCTGGTCACTCTAAGAGTGAGGCAGACAAAATGCAAAGGGCCTGGCTCACCATTGCGTCACGCTGGTTTTACACCAGTATTACACCATCAAAATGACTTGAGGAGGAGAGGCAGTCTCTCAGATCACCTGATCCCAAACCATTTAAAGTGCATAGATTAAAACCAACCCCTAAAATTCCCGGAAGTGTATTGGCAGTCCATGCAGATCATACACTCCAATGCTATGGTAATGCGCACCATATAAATACCTAAGCTAGATTAATCCCATAGCCCCAGCATAATGTGCTCCCAGGGGACAGCCATATTCTGAACTAGCTTCAGTGTTTGATTGGTCTCGTGGCTCCATGCAGAGTGTATTACAGCAAGGCAGGGTTAAGGTGACAAAGGATAAGTGTGGAAAGCTCCACACAGGAATTGAAAGGTGACCCTCTCCTTGCCAAGCACAAATTAAAAAGTGTTCTTGGCCCCCACCACTTCTTGGGCATCCAGGAGCAGCCCAGGTCTAGCAATGCTCTTAAGTTGTTCATCTGGGTCACAGATGGTGGTCACAATTTCTCAGTCATGGTCTTGATTAAAGTGCCACCAGCGCTTCTGGATGCTTCCACCAACATTATCTCCAATTTATCTGGATTGAGTCACAATCATTCAAGCCCCAAACTCATTTAGGTATTAGGCTATTGGTTCCACTCTACCAGCTGAGTCAGGCATGATAACAGCATATAGTTGGGTGTCTTTGGTGTCCCCTTCCAAGTGGCCTCATGAACACATTGAATAAGAGAGGTGATCAAATAAACCTCATGGTACCATGCATGAACCCCTCAGGGCAGCTACCATCTGAGAACACTCCAGAACAACTCCACTGCTTTGACAGGGCACAGTCACTGTAACAAACCCTGCTGACTAGAGCTGGTTACATTTTTTTTAAATGTTAACAGAAATCAGAGTTTTTACACACATTTTTATTGTGTTTTGACTACTCTACCGCTAACAGATTTAAAAATCTTTTTATCTTTGTGGCTAGGACACGATCAGCTGTAGCAGCCAGTACCATGCTCAGGCCTACAACTTGGTTGACCAGGGTTAAGGAAATCTGAGGACTCAAGGGTCAGCCAAAGTTGCCTCACCACAACTTTCTCACTGATCCTTCCTTAGAAAAGGAAAAATTCCTAAAATTAACACACAAAGTGGAAACAGACCCTCAGACTATGGAACGGGAAATCTCCTACATTTATTTGCCTCATCCTCCCACTCCTCCCAACCCTATTTATCTGTTTTGTCCTTCTATTGTGGCCTAACTGGCCATCTAGCCTGTGAACTCTCTGGGGCAGGGACTGTATTCTTTGTGATTTATCTGGTCAATGCCTAGCACTGTGGGGCCCTAACCCTGGATTGGGGTTCCTAGACACTGCCATAATATAAATAAATAATACTAGTATTAACATTTGTAGCTCACCAAGAACTTTCAAGCAGTCTTTGAAACAATATGCAATGTATTTTGCCAGTTGACTTTAAGGCTAAGAAGGGACCATTGTGAGCATTTAGTCTGACCTCCTGCACGTTGCAGGCCACAGACCCTCACCTGCCCACTCCTGTAATAGACCCAGTACAATTTTACTGAAGGATAAAATGGGGCATAGGAACACATGCAGAATCCTGACTTACATTTTGCAAATAAAATCAAGGATCAAGTTGTGACGAAAGTGTCATCTCGCCTTAGGCCCAGTTCTGCATTCCGCTACATGGTTATAAGTCCCATTGTCTTTAATGGAAAGAAACCGCTGTAAAGGAGGGCAGAATTTGGTCAATAAAGTTTAGGACTGTCAAGCAAGCTAGAAAGACCTAGTGAGTGAGGTTCTGTGTTTCGAACTACACAGAGCTCTTCTTCAGACTGAGGCACAGACACAATAATAGAGCTTTCAGTCTGTCTGATTTGTCAGTTATGTTGCATCTCTTGATATTTTCACTGGAAATTCAAACTGGGCTCTACTTTGTATTCTGTAGCATTACAATATGCCAGTATTCTCTGATGTATTGGATGGCTAAATTGCCTGTGATACTGAGTTAATACATAACCACCTACAAATGACAATGCTTTAACTATAGGAGCTTGACCATTAAGCCCATAGACGCTGCTAGCTATTCATTCCAAACAGCACAGCAAAAATCTTTTGTTTTGATATCGAGAGACCTTAGTAACCACATTTCGATCAATACGACAAGTTGCAGTTAAATGGTTTTTGCTTGTGTCTGTGGCACTAATTTCAGTCTTTGTCCCACTCCAGTTAATAGGCTGCATTATTGGCAGACAAGGCAGTAAGATAAATGAAATCAGGCAGATGTCAGGAGCGCAGATCAAGATTGCTAATGCCACAGAAGGCTCTGCAGAACGACAAGTTACAATCACAGGCTCCCCGGCAAACATCAGCTTAGCACAGTACCTCATTAATGCAAGGTAAGTTAGCTTTGTAAGTGATATGCTTCTGCAAGATTGCTCTCTCTGTTTTCCAACAAATATCTGCCTAGGATAAAGCCAGAAAGTTGCTGTGCAGTGTCCATTTTGCATAGTCTTATTTTATTCCTACTTATTTGTAAATCCTGTACTGTTAGAGCCTGTGTTTATTGGTGGTTTATATGGAAAGCGGCTTAATCTGGTGCAATTTCAGTTACACTGAAGCATAAGAGCTCAAAATCTGAACATTCACATTTGTAGCCATCTAGCCTCTGAGCTGGATACAGAAAATGATACTGTCATAAATTCGTTGGAAGATAAAACTTTTCATAGGACAAACTGATAGCGATGCAGACTCATTCTGCTGTCTTAAATGGCAACTATAGTGAAACAGATTGCAAAACAGATTTAATTTGCTAGCTGGAAATTGCTTCTCAGGGTTATTAATGGGATATTAAACAGACATTTGGTTGCTAAAGAGACCCGGAATTTATTTTTTTCATAGATAGCCCCACACATTTGTAAAAAGCCCACCCTCATCAGACAGGGTGAGAATCTCCTTTTCACCACTTTTCAACTCCAGAGTTAATGAAAACACTGATTGTTTAGTTAGTGAGAGGCATAAGCAGTCTCAAAGGGCTATTTGGATTTGATTATTTAGGAAAAGATGAAAGTTGATATGCAAGTAGCACTCTTACTCCTTTGAGAAAGTGCAATGAATGTAACGCTCTGTCATAAATCTACTTGAATGTGCTGTACAAAGGCACTAGAGAGGAAGATTAGTATCTATACATTACACCATTTTTTAAAAACACTGTGCCATCTCGCAAATCAAGCAACTTTCTTAAAGATACTTTTAAAATAATATAAAGTGTGTAAAATAGTATAAGCTTGTGTATGTTGTGGATTGCAGTCCTAGCAAATCTAACCAGCCAAAGCACCTCTCCACCAATATAATTTGATTAACACTAGAAAAGCATGTAGATTCCATGAATGAAGGGAAAGGAGATTTGCCTTCCATTATGGCAAACAAAATATTACCTTTGCATTACTTGTAACTAGCTTGTCAGGGATAAATGTACTATTCTATGGCACCACAAAGCTTCAACACTAGCCATTCCAAGGATCCAAAGACAACATACAGCTCGTGTGCTTTACATTCTTTATAGCAAATATAAGTCACTTCCTTAAGCCCTGTAATCAAGTAAAAATGTGTTCCCTCCTTTAACCCTTAAGGATATGTTCTTCTCTTGGTGTTCAGGGATTCCCCACACATCGAGACGAGAATAGACCCCTTCACTTTTAGTTGCACAAACGCCATATGGCATGCACCTGGATTGCAGAAGATAACAATTTAAGATCTTCAAGACAGCTAAAGCATGCAAATAAAATAATGCAAGTTATTAATGGAGTTGCAGTGAGCTGCTCACCAGAGACAGAAACTCTAGTGAACAAACCTCTCTTTGACTCAGTTATAAAAGCCTGTGAACTCTCACAGCTCTGTTTATTGCTGTCTAATGGTTCTTTTCATGGAATGGGACATTTAAGAGGTCTTTTAACACACTTTTGCAATGAAGAAAACTGCTGAGCAATCATATTCCATGGATACTATATACCCTGTGAAACTAGAAACAAAGTAGTATTTTCTTCCTGTTGAATTTCTAGTTAGGAAGCATTTGTTACCATCAGATACAATAAACCATTATATATTATGTACTATATGTTGAAATGTATTTAGGTAAAATGACTTCATTTGTGAATGAAGAGTCTTAAAACAATGTATAATAAATTAAGCTCTCAAGTATCATAGGTAATTAAGGTGGCCTTTTCATTTTAAAAAGCTATGCTATGTGACTAATTTTTTGCTAAAAGATATAATGAGGAGAGAGGAATTCTGTTAACTTAGGTGCCAACACAGCAGCAGAACTAGTTGGCAGTCAAGGATTGAATGGGCCATGGAAATCGAATAACTTCAGTCTAGCAAGCGGTGTCCCCAACCTGTGGCTTACGCAGCTTGCAAGGCCATGGGAGGGAAATATAGAGTGCCACAGCCCATGCGGGACCTATTCTGTGGGTAAATGGAGCCAGCTTCAAGGGTTGTGAATCCAAAACTTTATATGAGTCCTACGAGCTCTTTCTTTTTTTAATTTTTTTCATTTATTTATAATTTTTTTATTAAATATAAAAAGCAGATGTGAAATAAATTGTTACCAGAGAGAGTTGAGTACAATATCAAAGTACTAAACTCACCATGATACCCACTGGTATGCAAAAATAGTCAATGTACACCGAGGACAGGGGGCACCAAGTTTTCCCATCATTCCTGGATCTGCCTTTTCTTTCTGTTCAGGGCGTTACTTCTGATACTGACATTACCCTGCAGACCAATCAGCTCTGACTAGTGCTGTAATGTCATTCCCATTGGTTTGGTTTCCAGGGGCATTACTTCTAGGAATTACAATACATAATTCAAGGTTTGACAGTAGCCTGAGTTTTAAAAGAATACCAGTTCTTTGAAGTACCTGAACTATTTCTAGCCAGTTTTGTCTTCTTTAAAATCATTTATCAGACAATTTTAAATAAAGATTATTTTGTTGCAGTATCTTGTTGAATATGTGCATGAGAATATATAAACTAGGTTAGATTTAAGGGCAGCATGGTCTGTAGAGACAGAGATTTAACCTTATTTTTGTTTCTGTATGGATATAGCCAACTGTTGATATTTGTACCCCTGAAATATGCCCCATCTTAGTTATGTGCATTAGGAATGCTTTATTTCCTGTATATCTCTTGTCTCTTAATTGGTCTTCAGCCTGAACCATGTAACCACAGGACTTGGGAAATAAGGTTCCACTGTAATAATTGGATCCTTGTTATCAAATTATTATCTTAAAATTCTTACTAAAAATGAAGTGAACCACAATTTAAGTTTAAACTGTATGATATATGACTTCTTCTTTGGGTTATAAATGAATTTTAGCCAATGGAGCTTTCTTATTCTTGTTGAAGAGTAGCTTTTTGAAGATATTTTTACTTCCATTTTGATAACCATTTGATTAGTTCAAGGATAATTAATAAGGGCCCACCCCTATATTCCTTACCTACTCAAGAAATCCACTGATTGCACGGAACACAGGATGTGGCCTTCAATGTATTTATTCATAAAATGAAGCTCTTCTCTGAAAAGTGACTCTGTAAAACTAGCATCATGGAGTTCCAGGTGTGTCACGCATCATTGGCTTCCAAATTAAATTTGGTCTGTTTACATGTAAACAGTTGATTTTGGTAACTGCAAACTCAACAAGGCCTCTGAAAGCCAAGTTGGATTCCTTCTATTTTATGCATCATCATCATCACCACCACTAGAAATAAAGATCTGGTAAAGGCAGGCCAAATTATACCCTTAGTTATGCCTGTGCAGCTCAGTACATCATTTGGAGACAGTGAGGTTACACAGATGTAACTGAGGCCATGATTTTGGCCTGCAGAATATTTGCCACCTGTGATGATACATGAGAAGGTATTTTCAGCCCTCCACCCCCACCCCAGCTGAACTTTCAGCATTAGCAGCTAGAAAAATCCCAACTCGTTACTTGCCAACTGAGCCAGTTTGATGTGGAGTCACTGTGCGATAATACACAAGGAATCCCAACAATGTCATTTTTACAGACCCCTCTCAGAGTAAAACTGAGCTGTAAATATAAAATCCAATTATATACAGATAATTTTACAAAACATGCTGCTCCTGCTCACCAACCTGAGAAGGCGCCCTGTAGTTGGCTCCAAATTTCAGGGTCAGGTAACAGGCATTTTTAATGTAAATTATATAGTTTAATATTTCAAATGGCATTGTTTGCTGTATAAAGACACTATTATTGTCTTTCTACAAAGACCAGTTTTGACACCAGGTTAGAGAAAGCAGTGTTGTTCAGTGGGAATGGGTGAGACTTGTGGAGGCAGAGGTTAAGAAAACCAAAGTTTTCTGTTTCATGCACTCCAAACCTTTACAAATGTAGCTGAGACGGCTTCTGGCTCCCTGGTAAAAGTATTGGGGTTAAGATCCAAAGAGCCCACTTCCTTGTGAGGGGAAGTGAAGAACCTGATATCTTCCCACCATACAGCCAAACAAGCCCCAAGCTCCCTCACACATACCTTTAGCAGTCGTTCTGGGGAGTACCATTCTCAAACACCATCACCTCTGTCATCTTCAAGGGATGGTTTCATCTGCTGTCCGGGGGCAGCACCTAGACCAAAGGGAGGGGCTTCTGGTGGTTGCCCATCTCCATTCAACAACAGTGAGCAGGAGCCATTCCTGCAAGTCACTTGAAGGTGCATGGAGCCCTGGGCTCAGGGAAGACCCTACTTGCATTCTTGTTAAGCTGGCCTAGAGGTGAAGTTCCCCCTCCTCTTGACTGAGGCCTGGATATGATTTGTCCTCTAATCCTATGCAATGTGGATGTCTCTGTCCTTTAGTGCTTAAATGAACAGGGCAGCAGAGCTAGAAGTGTTCCCCAGTCTGCTGCTGGCTGATGATAGATGGGCCTCTGCCACAGGCCCTTCTCCCTGCTTTGTGGATTGAGGGTCATTGGGGGTCTCTGCCATTCCTGCTCCCACTCCCAAATAGAATATGTGGGAGAGGGAAAGTGCTGCTCCCAGAAGTGGCCATAGGGAGGAAGCCATGGAGAGTTGGCCAATGGATCAGCCCAGAAGAATAGGGTGGTGCCAGCCACTATGAGGCGAAAGCTTTATAGGGAAAGGGAGCAGGGAAATCTTCCTCTGGAGTCACAGAGGAAGGCGGCTGGAGGAATTCCTCTCCCCCGCTCCCTACCCATGGCCAAAGAAGCATTGGGCAGGAAAGTGGTTCTTCCCCTCCACAGGTGAACCAGGAGGGCTGGGGGACCATCTACTTTTATTCACAAACTAAGAGAGACATAGGAAAGACCATACTGACTCCATCTCTCTGGTTTAGAGCCCACCTTCAGAAAATGTGTAGTACAGCACAG